AGAATCACCAGGATTACTTCAGGTAGAGATGTAATTAGATAGAAATTATTTTCAAACATATTGGGAAAAAACTAGACAAATGAAAGAAGAAAGAAATTGTTCCATACATGCCCAAATCCTTTGCTTTACTAGTTTAGAAGGGCAAAGTGGCAAAGATGGTAATACCATAAAATCAGGAAGCAGCCACCAACCTTGGGCCCACATATTTTAGATAATTTCTGTTACTTTCTTTTTTAGAATTACCTGTTGCTGCCAACAAAGGAACTAAGGTTCCTGCTGCTGCGGACATTCCAGGGGCCGGTGGAGGCAATGACAGCATCATCAGAATCGAAATGGTCCTCGCTGTCTTCTCCTCTCCTCTCCCAATTCCATCTAAGTGCTTCTTATCCTTAGAACACAACCCAGGGCCAGCTGGTACAGGCAGTTGTCACCTGTACTTGGAGACATCCAGAGCTGGCAACGTAAGAATGTGCAGCACATCAGAGCAAGGATGCAAGCCAAAAGATGATGTTTGGCATAGGGGTCATCTCCCACTTGCTCATGGTCACATCTTCTGCATGGATTCAAGTAAATAAATAAACAAATACTCTGATGCCTGACCTCAGAGAAGGGAACTGATGCTAAAATGAACTTAGTTGTTGTTAAAGAGAACCGCAAGGAACACATTATTAGGTTGACAAAATCCTACAGATTAGAGAAATGATTGAAAGATGCTGTAATTTGGTCCTTATGTGTCCCCCCAAAGTGCCATTCAACACGGTGTCACGTTCTTAAGCAATGCAATAAAACATAGAACACAGCAGTAGCTTGGTTCATGAACTTAAGTTTTTCCATGATTGGAGCTATAAGCAGGATTGGACAAGAACTAAGGCAAATTTCCCCATAAGCTCAACATTGAACCTAAGTGTTAAATTTGACTTAATGCTTGTTCAGTTTGGCTTGTGACCAGAATCATGGAAAGAAGTTAATGAACAGAGGGATCACTGTATTATTTTATAGAAAATGGAAAAATTTACCACTTATAAATGATATTATTCTTTACTTCAGGAGCTGTGAGATATTATGCTATTAAAAACCATTAAAGGGGCCGGGGAGATGGCTCAGTAGAATAAGTGCTTCCCTGGCAAGCGCAAGGGCCTGAGTTCAATCCCCTGTTCTGAAAAAAAAAGAAATTAAAATGTTTGAGAAAATGGACAGATATAATGACGAACAGACAGAAACTAATGGCTTTTCTAAATATCTTTTTCAAAAGATTCAAAAGTTAAAGACTGTACAAAAGAATGCCATCCAGTTACTATTATATTAGGCCTAAAACGACCTACAAAAATATGTTCTCATCTTACTTCTAATCCTGTCAGCTGTGACTATCACCTTCTATAACAAAAGAGGCTCTTGGCAGATGTTATTAAGGCTAAAGACCTCGGAATGTTGAGATTATCCTGGATTATCTGAATGAAACCTAAGCACCACCATGAGCATACTTATAAAAGGGATCAGAAGGAGCTCTAACCCACGGATTAGCTCAGAATAAGGAAGTCACAAGGGAGAGACACTTTCAGCTGCTAGAATCCAAAAAGCAAGGAAACACTCTTCTCTGGAACCTCCGAAGCAGGCTCAGTGAAACTGATTTTGGCTTTGTAGCTCTAGGATGGTGAGAGGCTAAATTTCTGTTGTTTTCATTCACTGCTTGTGGTAAATTGTTATAGTAGTTAGAGAAAATTATTACAACTACTGAATACTGTAAAGAACATTGAAATAGAAGTCAGACAAAAATAGAAAAAAAACATTACTTAGAACTTGGCAGAACTGAATGTTCATTGACAAATACACCATTTATATAGTAGCTAGCAGGGATATAAATATGTTTGTTCTCTACGTAGGAAACAGCTGAAGCTGGAAATTGGTCATATGTGTGGGGGAAGACAAGCCGAAATACCTAAAACAGTCAGGCTACCTCAGTCTTGAGAAAAGCATCCTACCTAGAAGATTTCAATCATTAGTCATGAGGTAACTTTGTGTCTCATGATACTTTGTAAAAGTATAAATAAACACCTCTACTATTGTTCAGTTCTCTTTTCCCATTGAGAAAGAGGCCCCCACCTGACCTCAGCTCTTGTCTCTTGTCTTTATTTTCTAAATTCCTTTGCTGTTTCTCCTGGGACCACCAACGGCCACACCAGTTTGTGACACTCTTTAAAAGCGATCTAAAATTCCAAAGCAATCTTAGTCAAAGCCTATTTTTCAAATGGATTTTGCAAAGCTCATTTCTAGATCTATTTGAAAAGTTTGGGATTTAGTTATAGTTAGAAAATAGCATGGCAAAGAGAAATTTTGTGTTTCTCGTATCAAGATATATAACAATACAATTATAATTTTTAAAACTTTAAAGTAAACAAATACTGGTGAAGGAAAGAACAGAAAAAACACACCAGAACTGACCCATAAATATGAATGAAGTTTAATGTCTGATAATGTTGGCATTTTTAAGTGATAGGGATGGAATACAATTAAGATTTAAATATGGTTTTTCACAGAGGCTCATGTACTGGAGGCTTCGTTATCAATGAGATGGTATGCCACGTGGTGGATCCTCTAAGAAGTGAGGCCTAATGGGAAGGGATTATTGCTCACCTTGCAAGAGTATGTTAGTTAGGATAAAATCCAAATGTTATAAAGCTATTTGAGTCTATCAATTTTCTTTTGTTGCTTCTTTTCTCACTGTTTGAGATCTTCCTCCCTCCTTGCCTCTCTTCTTCCCTCCTTCTCTTGATTCTTCTTTTTGTACCCCCATTCCCCTTTCCTTCCACCATGTGGTACTCTCTGCCATAAAACTCAGAAGAAACTAATGCTGGTGCCATGCTCTAGAACAGCTAAGAGTGTGAATTAAATAAGCTTCTTCTTCTTCTTCTTCTTCTTCTTCTTCTTCTTCTTCTTCTTCTTCTTCTTCTTCTTCTTCTTCTTCTTCTTCTTCTTCTTCTTCTTCTTC